AAAGGAAAAGACAGAGATATTTACAACACACACATAGGCATGTCCAAAGAGGGGAGCAGACAGTTTAGAGCCATTACTAAAACCCCACCAATAATGTACACCAAAAGGAAACACAATTTTGTAACAAATCCTATACCAGAGTGTAAAGTATACCTGACCCTATTGAAAGGTTTGCAACAGACCTGAACCTCTAACATGGTAAAAGGATTTGTGACAAAATTGTATTTGGGACCCCCAGAACATGCAGAGACCCTGTAGAATAAAAAGATAGTAGTTGCAGTTTATTATGTTGCACCTTTTTGTATACTTTCAGGACAAAATGTAATATAATGAATTTTAGCACACACAAACACTATACCCATTTTTGGTAATATATAAATGATAGGGTTGCATCAAGTAAATGGATACCAAACATTCCAAGTATTAAATGTGCTTGTGTCCCATAATTGCAAAAACCAATGGTACCCAAAAATCTTCATAAGCAATGCTCTAAAGCGGTAGTAAACTTGTTTCCTAAAAATAAAAAATGTGGTCCCCCTGCAGTTTTAAATTATAATATACTAGTAGGTACTGCATACTAGCACATTATGACAGACTTACCTGCTAATGTAGCCCTCTTGTGCAGTGCTGTCATGGCTCCCCCTACACTTCCAACTTCACCCCCCTTCTTTCTTCTGGGTTTCAGATCTTTGGCCACTTGAATGACTGAGCTACAGCCAGGCAAGGGGGACACTGACAGGCAAGGGGGGCATTTATGACAGAAGAGACCCTGCATGTCAGTGGATTTTACATACAAAAAGTTTACTATTACTTTAACAAACCCCCATGTGATAGTATTGCATGGGTGACAGGTAGTCTTCATGGATACATTGGGATATAATCCACCACCCTCCAAGGCATCTAACCAAGCAGAGATATGCTTGGTTATATGCTTCCATGGCTGTATCAACTAGCAAATGACGGCTATTAAACTAGAGGTGACAAAATCATTGATGCTCCTGGTTTCATTCCAGGCAGAAGAGATTGAAGAATGTATATCCCTTCCTCCTGACATTTTGAAGCCCTCTATCGTGGTCCTGGGATCCCGGTAAGAGCAAGAAACATGTTAAGGGGGGGGTGTAAGGTCCATGGGGGGACCATGCCAAGAGCACTGTGAAAGTGATACAGCAAGCAACCACTTTCACTTTACAGCCATATGAGGAAAACAAGAACAAGCTGATAGCTGCTACTACAGCCATCACCTTGTGCTTTACCATTCACTGTTTGGACGTACTACATGCTTCTAAAGAGCTGAACTAGTTAAACTAAGCAGAGCAACTAATACTTCAAGAACCCATGAAGCTGCTCAGGCACAATCAAAAAAGAACTGCAAAAACTGTTTTCAGAAAGCACTGTGAAAAATGTGTGTATCGTGTTAAATACTATCCTTCTTTACCTTTCCAACGTACACCCCTGTGAGTGATGATCTTTAAAGGGGCATTTTGGAGCATTACCTGAATTGGTGAACTAATATTATGACTGACCTTACAGCAGTGTATATATAGCCAAGACTTTTTAATTTAGTTTTGGATAGAAAAGTAAAGGCTAAATCTCTATAAAGTTTTTTTTGTTGTCCGATTCCCAGTGGGGAGATTTCATTTCATTACCTGTCTTGGAGAAATCACTACAAAGTAAGGTGAAGTCCTATCATAGACAGTGTCATAAAACATTTGTTCCTGTTGGAAGGCTTCCCAGCACCTCTTTCTCTAATGCAGGATATAGGATTTACCCTTAAATTTAGTCATAGCAACAACGGTCACCTTAACCAACATAGGGGAGAATCTTCCGAGCAGAGACCAAGACATCAACAAAAACTAAAAACTGAACTCCAGTCCTACCATTTGGCTTGCACACCTGTACAGGTTTCTTTTGTGTACTGAATTACTTATTCTGATTTTACTACACACTATGAACTTCTCAAATTTTGCATGAGAAGCTACAGCAAATTGGCTAGAGTCCCCCTCCTTTTCTGGCTGAAAAATGTCTAGCACATAAAGTTCTTTTCTTCCCCCCTGGCCCACACCTTTCATTTATTGAATTTGAGTTCTTCCAATCATGGAGTGATAGTGACACTGTTACTGTCCATTGGTGTCACATAATGACCCATGGGTTGCTGTACATTTTTTTTTAAATGCAAGGTAACCACTGTCAACAGACTCTCAACCACACTGCATGCCCATGCACAGAAAATATAACTATACAAATTCAAGTTTTCTTCCTTATTGTCAGCCTCCCAGTCCACATAATGCTGCTGGTGCTACTCTTTTGATGTGACACAGGTACATAGCTGTACTGTCAGCTTCATATATTTGCAATATCCCCAAGACCCTTTTATTTACTGTATGTATTATAGTAAAACAAATTTCAGAATGAATATAATCTCAATAGGGAGGTAAGGTTTCTTTAATTTTTTTTTCAATTGCAAACACAATTTAACTCTATAAAGTCCCTTACTAATAACATTTATATTTGTACCAGGAAGTCGTTCAGAAAATAATCATAGGCAATTCATCAAGGATCAGTTGGGTGAATTTAGAATTAGTGGACCAGAGTTTTCGCAAATATCTTTTTAATGTTAAAACCTCAATAGGAAAATTGGTTACTTTAGAGATGCTTCTAAAGATACTCATAAAAATATAATTAACAGCCCCTACCTTTGTCAGCTGGAATGGGATTGCCAGCTCATACATCTGGTCCTTATTTCCCTAGGGAGTTGTGATAGGACAGCTTTTGTACACTATGTCATTTAACGATGTGGGAATGGTTGCCAAACCCAGCCAAATCTGCAGTTTTATTTAACTTCTCTAGACAGTGTTTGCTGTAGGTAACTGAAAGTATATATGAATCATGTTTATCTAACAATACAAATGCTGAGCACAAAAATAATAAATCAGCAGGCAGCTTCATATGTTTTGAATGCCCTAAACTGTTAACAGGTATACTCTCTACATAGCTTCATTGATTTTTAAAATGCAATTTGTTCAGGTTTGTGATGCTGGGACCAATGCTGAATGTGGATGTGCTGTACACTGTGCTTTATTATAGTTGTCATTGACCAACCGCACCCAATATATTAATGGAAAGCACATGAGGCTGCCCAAAAAAGGAGCTTATGAAAGAGTGCACTGCCTTCCGGCATAGAGACTTAGAGTGACCTGAAGTATATTTAATCTTAGTTTGGACTAAATGAGGGAAATTATGATTATAGGTAACATTTATTATTAAAACATGATGGGTAATAAGGTAAAATTCAATGATATGGTTGGGTTTGCTTCTGCTTTAAATGTAGAAATGTGGAGAATAGTCATGAGCACTATGTGGCTCAGTGCTATTGATCTGCTTTCTGTTTGACATGTGCTGAGATTAGATGTCAATCATGCAGGGAGTGCATTGATTTCAGTGGGTCAGCAGACATAGACTGGCATCTGACATATTGTGAGAAGCTGCAGTAATGCACAGCCATTGCATAGCACTACAAAGCGGGAACAAAACCTCTAGATATACACTCGTCAGCCACTTTATTATGTACACCTGTTCAATTGCTTGTTAACACAAATTGCTAATCAGCCAATCACAAGGCAGCAACTCAATGCATTTAGGCATTTAGACATGATTAAGACGACCGAGTATCAGAACGGGGAATAAAAGAGATTTAAGTGACTTTGAATGTGGTATGGTTGTTGGTGCCAGACGGGACGGTCTGAGTATTTAAAAAACTGCTGATTTACTAAGATTTTCATGCACAACCATCTCTAGGGTTTACAGATAATGGTCAGAAAAAGAGAAAATATCCAGTGAGCGGCAGTTGTGTTGATGAAAATGCCTTGTTGATGTTAGAGGTCAGAGGTGAATAAGCAAACTGGTTTGAGATGATAGAAAGGTGACAGTAACTCAAATAACTATTCATTACAAGCAAGGTAGGCAGAATTCCATCTCTGAGCGCACAACACATTGAACCTTGAAGTGGATAGGCAGCAGAAGACCACACCGGGTGCCACTCCTGTCAGCTAAGAACAGGAAATACAGGCTACAATTCACACAGGCTCACCAAAATTGGACAATAGAAGAGTGAAAAAACGTTGCCTGGTGTGATGAGTCTCGATTTCAGCTGTGACATTCAGATGGAGGGGTCAGAATTTGCAATTAACAATGTGAAAGCATGGATCCATCCTGCCTTGCATCAACGGTTCTTGGATGTTCAGTTGAAAAATCTGCAGCAACTGCATGAAGCTATCATGTCAATATGGCTCAAAATCTCTGAGGAATGTTTCCAACACCTTGTTGAATCTATGTCATGAAGAATTAAGGCAGTTCTGAAGGCAAAAGGGGGTACAACCCAATACTAGCAAGGTGTACCTAATAAAGTGGCCAGTGGTGGGTGCAGTGTGGTGTGGCTGCAATAACACACACAGTCCAGGTGCAATATAAAGAACTTGTACTGAAGTAAAGCAAAGATAGTTCAAAACAGGGGCAGACTGACAACTCATGGGGCCCCCGGGCAATTGGGGATCATGGGGCCCCTGTGTCCTTGCTCACACTCAAAACACACCCAAAAATCCTATAAAAGGTACCAGGGGCATTTTATGGGGCCCACTACTGAACCCGGGCCCTCGGGCAGTGCCCGAGTGCTCGAATGGTCAGTCCGCCCCTGGTTCAAAACAAATCTAGTGGGAAGGCAGCCCAACCAGAAACAATCACAAATTCCAACAGCGTGCAGAGAAGCAGGTTTAAGCCGAACTGACAGCACCTGTTAGGATGAACAAAATACGGCCTGGTAGTTCTGAACCCACATTTTCCCTCCTCATCCTAATCCATTCCCTACCGCTAGTACTGTCCGTGACAGACAGGGTACCTGTCCCTACACCATCCACACAAAATTGCACTCCAAAACCTCCTCTGACCCAAGATGGCCACCAAGGGTCACGTAGATTCAGCACTACCAACCGGAACTCTGTCTCCTGGATCCAGGAAACCACAGATCCAGGAAACCTCATTCTGGAAGGACGTCATATGATGTCCTCCCATTCTCACAGAAAGAGCCGAAGATGTCGGCTCTGTCGTGTGACCAGCTGTGTCCAATAGGGAAATGTCGGTTATCGGCATTTCTCTCCTCTCGAACTGTCACGCTGACAGAGGAGAGGAGAGCCGGTAATCGGCATTCTGTGGAGGGACATGTACATGGACATGTGCCCTGATGTTCAGTGTAGCCCCAGCAGTGCCACCTGTCAGTGTCCATCAGTGCCAGCTGTCAGTGCTCAACAGTGCCACGTGCTAGTGCCCATCAGTTCCACATCAATGCCACATATCAGTGCCTACCAGTGCACATCAATGCTACATAACAGTGCCCATCTGAGCTGCCTTTCAGTGTCACCCATCAGTGCCAGTCAGTGTCACCTATCAATGCCAATCAGTGCCACCTATCAGTGCTGCCAATCAGTGTCACCTATCAGTGCCAGTCAGTGCTGCCTATCAGTGCTGCCTATCAGTGCCACCTAACAGTGCCAGTCAGTGCCGCCTATCAGTGCCACCTATCATTGCTGCCTATCAGTGCCATATATGAGTGCTGCCTTTCAGTGCCCATCAGTGATGCCTGTCAATGCCCATCAGTGCCACCTACCAGTGCCTCCTCATCAGTTCCCATCAGTGCCACCTATCAGTGTCCATCAGTGCAGCCTATCAGTGCCCGTCACTGCAGCCTCATTAGCTCACATCAGTGAAGGAGAAAAATCAATTATTTGCAACATTTTATAACAAAAACTAAGAAAAAACTTTTTTTTTTTCAAAATTTTCAGTGGTTTTTGGTTTGTTTAAGAAAAAATAAAAAACCCAGAGGTGATTAAATACCACCAAATAAAGCTCTATCTGTCACAAAAAAATGATAACAATTTCATAACGGTACAGTGTTGCATGATCGCACAATTGTCATTCAAAGTGCGACAGCGCTGAAAGCTGAAAATTGGCCTGGGCAGGAAGGGGGTAGAAGTGCCCTATAGGCTAGTGGTTAATACTGCCGCTGACATCAATGGTGGGGTCTATTTTACTCCCACTTTCTCTTTCATGTGTGCTGTGGTATGCTGGAAAAAATATAGCAGAATCAATATTTGCAGGTATTAAGACCTATTCTAGTGTATTCAAGTTGTATCAGCTGCCTAACTCGACGCAATGCATCTCAAGACATGAAAACATTCTGCCATTAAATGGCCCTCTGAAAGGGTCAACAGCTCCACTCCAAAATTTTCAAGTCGCCAACCACTGCCTTAAAAAAATCCAAGATGACAGCACTTGCTGTCATTTATTACAGATAGTCTGCTCAGTTGTGTTTTGCAAGTTTCTATGTACATTCTTGCTAGGGAAATTCCTAAACACTGTAAGAAATGTGAGTCACTCCCACAGAGCTGTGTTTCTTAAACATTTTACATAAGGCTTTCTCTGTTGTGCTGTTTTCAAAAGCATGTAAAACAGACTGAACATGCAAAAAGGAATTCCCAAGATATAATGTACTGTATGGTTGATTTGTTGGAATCTAAAAACAATGACAAGTGCTCTACATTGCAGTTCAACAATTTAGCTACATTGCTTTTTAAATTATAGCTGTCCCAAGAGAAATATTAACGCCAACAATGCTTATTCCTGAAAATACTATTTTCCTGGCTTTTGCAGATCCGCTGGTTTCAGTAGCTGCTGAGTCGCTGATCTGGAAGTAGGATAGTGAAGAGTCCTTATCTGCATAATTGTTCTAGGCTTGAATATTAAAAAATAAGGGGGTTAGTGTGACAGTAAGGTAACTTGCATTTTAAGACCAAGAGGTCAGCACTGGCAGCAATCATGTTTCTCTCATGTACAATAGGCTGTAACTACTCCCACTAGCATTACTGTTACTATGGAAAAATGTGCCCATTTGGGCACAGAAGAGTCTTTATCATGAATGCACTCTACTTGGGTGGGAACAATAGACAGTGGCTAAGAATTTGTTTTACAGTGAGAGAAGTGTCACATATATAACATACTGTATATCAGGGTGTTTACAGAACAATGCAATGAGTGAAGTGGTGTGGAGTGTATAATGTACATTCCAAAGTCTGTATTAGAGTGCTGTGCAGCATAGAATGTATAGACTGCACAGTGAGGAGAGTGGTGTGGCATATGCAATGGTCATTGTACAATGTAAAGGCATGCAGGACATACAACACAGTATACAGAGAGGTAGATTTACTAAAACTGGAGCACTCAGAATTTGGTGTAGCTGTTACTGGTAGCCAATCAGCTTCTAACTTCAGCTTGTTCAATTTAGCTTTGGCAATAAAACATGGAAGCTGATAGGATACAATGCACAGCTACACCAGATCACGTGTGCACAAGTTTTGGTAAACCTCCCCCAGAGACTATAAAGTTAATGCTGTGGTCAGGGTTTTACAAGGATTTTGAAAGACCTGGAAAAAACCCTTGGAGAGAAATGATGTGACACATATGGGTGGAAATGCACATGGGGGTACGTACTACTAAGGTAATTATTGGAGTTTGTTATAGGCCTCCCAGTGTTAATGAGGAGGTGGAGACTCAGCTCCTTGCACAGTTCGAAAAGGGCTGCAAGGGCTGGGACAGTAATAATTATGGGGGATTTTAACTACCCGGAAATTGACTGGAGTAATGGCACTGCAGGAACAGTTAAAGGGCAAACATTTTTAAACCTACTACAGGACAATTTTATGGTACAATCCATAGAGGCCCCTACTAGGAATGATGCTCTGCTGGACCTGATAATCTGAAACCATGCAGAGCTTATTGCGAATGTCCATATAAAAGAACATCTGGGTAGCAGTGACCATAACATGATTTCATTTATTGTTAGCTGTAAACAGCAAGCACATATGAGAAAAATAAAAATGCTCAATTTTAAGAGAGCTAATTTTCCAAGGCTGAGAGCTGCTCTCCAAGACTTAGACTGGGAGGGAATATTGGCATAGATGAACACAACACAGAAATGGGAGTTCTTCAAAAAGACTGTATGTGAACACACTGCAAAATATATTCCCATGGGCAACAAGTTTAAAAGACTAAAAATCAAACCTATGTGGTTTTCAGCCATAGTTTAAAAAGATATAAATAATAAGAAAAGATCTTTTTTAAATATAAAAATGAAGGAACGCTATCATCATTTAAAAATTATAAAGAATATAACAGAATATGCAAAAAGGAAATAAAGGCCGCAAAAATTGAAAACAAATGACAGATTGAAAAAGATAGCAGGACCAACCCCCAAAAATTCTTCAAATATATAAATAGTAAAAAGATCCGGTCTGAGCATGTAGGCCCTTTACAAAATAATCTAGAGTGGGTGACTGGGGACAAAGAGAAGGCAATTTATTTAATACCTTCTTCAGCTCTGTATATACAAAGGAGCATGGGGGATCTTGTCCATAATGGGCATGGTATTGACACAGCTCCAGATGATCCACATTGGCTCACAATTGTTATGATCCAAAAATATTTAGACAGAATAAAGGTGAACCTGGACCGGATGGCATACACCCACGGGTCCTTAAAGAATTGAGCTCTGTCATTTCAAAACCATTGTTTCTAATTTTTAGGGACTCTTTAATGACTGGCATAGTACCACTTGATTGGCGTAAGGCCAATGTGGTGCGAATATTTAAAAAGGGGTAAAAATCATTACCAAGTAATTATAGACCTGTTAGTTTAACTTTTATAGTTGGGAAGATACTGGAAAGTTTTTAATAAAAGACCACATAGATGAGTTCTTGCTGGAAAACAATATTTTAAGCAACAGACAGCATGGATTCATGAAAGACAGAAGTTGTTAAACAAATCTGATTTCTTTTTATGAGGAGGTGAGCAAAACCTTGGACAGAGGGGTGGTGGTGGACGTGGTATACTTGGATTTTGCAAAAGCGTTTGACACAGTTCCCCATGCACGGCTAATGTGTAAGGTAAAGTCTACATGCTTGGAAAAATCTGTATCTAAATGGATAGAAAACTGGCTAAAAGATTGTATTCAGAGAGTAGTGGTTAATGATTCATACTCTGAATGGTCTAGGGTCATCAGTGGTGTACCCCAAGGTTCAGTGTTGGGACCCTTACTTTTTAATATATTTCTAAACGATATAGGGTCTGAGATTACAAATCCCATTTCAGTCTTTGCAGATGACACCAAGCTGTGCAGTGGAAAACCGTCCTTACAGGATGTCTCTAACTTACAAGCTGACCTCAATGCACTGTTTAATTGGGCAACTATGTGGCAAATTAGGTTTAATGTTGATAAATGTAAGGTTATGCACTTGGGGGCTAAGAATATGCATGTATCATACATACTATGGGGGAGTACAACTGGGGGAATCAATGGTGGAGAAGGATCTGGGAGTTCAGGTAGATCACAAGCTTAATGGCATGGAATGCCAAGCTGCGGTTTCTAAAGCGAGCAAAATCCTCTCTTGTATTAAAAGAGGTATAGACTCCAGAGAGAGAGATATCATATTACCCCTGTACAAATCATTAGTAAGACCTCATCTGGAATATGCAGTTCAGTTTTGGGCACCAATTCACAAAAAAAAACGTTGGGGAACTGGAGAAAGTACAGAGAAGGGCAACACAACTGATAAGAGGCATGGAGGAGCTCAGCTATGAGGAAAGATTAGGGGAACTGAATTTATTCTATCTTGAGAAGAAGAGAATACAGGGGGATATGATCAACATGTATAAATACATCCGTGGTTCATATAGTGAACTCGGTGTAGAGTTATTCACCCAGAGGTCATCACAGAGGACAAGAGAGCACTCTTTACGTCTGGAGGAAAATAAATGAAATATCCAATCACGGAAAGGTTTCTTCACAGTAAGAGCTGGAAAATCTGGAATAGACTCCCTCAAGAGTTGGTTCTGGCCAGCTCATTGGATTGCTTTAAAAAAGGCTTTGATTCTTTATTGGATACACAGAATATAACTGGATACTAACATTTATAGGTAAAGTTAATCCAGGGAATATCCGATTGCCTCTCGGGGGATCAGGAAGGAATTTTTTCCCCTGCAACAGCAAATTGGATCATGCTTTGCTGGGGTTTTTTTGCCTTTCTCTGGATCAACTGTGGGTGTAGGATTATAACTTTTTCTTTTAATGGTTGAACTGGATGGACTTTTGTCTTTTTTCAGCCAGACTGACTTGAAAGGGCATGCTCATTCGATTGTCAACCTACTTGCTATACAAGTATACAATGTACACATATGCCACAGTACTTATATATACTAAATAAGCCTTAAAATGTATCTAAACCCAATCACTAAAATCTCATATATCCTTTAACAAATTAATGTAATTCAAAAGGTTTTCATTCTTTTTTAGTCTGCAGATTTTATGGAAACAATTATACTAACACGAAGCCAACATTTTTTAAAAATTTGGATAGAGCATAGAATGATTATTATTGTAGTTTTGACCTTGAAGTAATTTTTTATTTTTTCAGGTTCACAAACCTTCCCTCCCATATACTGTATACAATATGTTATTGTATTAATATACAGGTTT